TCTATGTCTGTCTATATATCTGTCTGTCAGTCTGTCTGTCTATATATCTGTCTGTCTGTCTGTCTGTCTATATATCTGTCTGTTGTCTGTCTGTCTGTCTGTCTATATATCTGTCTGTTTGTCTGTATATATCTGTCTGTCTGTCTTTATATCTGTCTGTCTGTCTGTATGTCTATATATCTGTCTGTCTGTATATATATCTGTCTGTCTGTCTGTCTGTCTGTCTATGTCTGTCTATATATATGTCTGTTGTCTGTCTGACCGTCTGTCTTTATATCTGTCTGTCTGTCTGTCTGTCTTTATATCTGTCTGTCTGTTTGTCTATGTCTGTCTATATATCTGTCTGTTGTCTGTCTGTCTGTCTTTATATCTGTCTGTCTGTCTGTCTTTATATCTGTCTGTCTGTCTGTCTGTCTGTCTTTATATCTGTCTGTCTGTCTGTCTGTCTGTATGTATGTCTATATATCTGTCTGTTTGTCTGTATATATATGTATCTGTCTGTCTGTCTGTCTGTTAGTCTATGTCTGTCTATATATCTGTCTGTTGTCTGTCTGTCTGTATGTCTATATACCTGTCTGTTTGTCTGTATATATATATCTGTCTGTCTGTCTGTCTGTCTGTCTTTATATCTGTCTATCTGTCTGTCTATATATCTGTCTGTCTATATATATCTGTCTGTCTGTCTGTTTGTCTATGTCTATATATATCTGTCTGTTTGTCTGTATATATATATCTGTCTGTCTGTCTGTCTGTTTGTCTATGTCTGTCTATATATATATGTCTGTTGTCTGTCTGTCTGTCTTTATATCTGTCTGTCTGTCTGTCTGTCTGTCTGTCTGTCTTTATATCTGTCTGTTTGTCTGTCTGTCTGTCTTTATATCTGTCTGTCTGTCTGTCTGTCTGTCTGTCTTTATATCTGTCTGTCTGTCTGTCTGTCTTTATATCTGTCTGTCTGTCTGTATGTCTATATATCTGTCTGTTTGTCTATGTCTGTCTATATATCTGTCTGTTGTCTGTCTGTCTGTCTGTCTGTCTGTCTGTCTGTCTGTCTGTTTGTCTATGTCTGTCTATATATCTGTCTGTGTTCTGTCTGTCTGTCTTTATATCTGTCTGTCTGTATGTCTATATATCTGTCTGTTTGTCTGTATATATATCTGTCTGTCTGTCTGTTTGTCTATGTTTGTCTATATATCTGTCTGTCTGTCTATCTAATTTTGGAATATTTTATAAAAATGTACACAATTGTTAATATAGCAGACATATTTTCCTGTTTTTAAAAATACTCACATTCTACCTTTAAAAATATGCAGGAATCCTGAGTTGATGCAGAACTTAAAGGCCTAATTTTCATGATATTCTGAATCATTTCTACATGACGTTTAGCATTTTTCTATTTAAATCTGCATCTGGTACATGAGTAAATTAGCAACATCAGTAATTTACGGATAAAAAAAAATAAAAAGTCATGATTACTAATAAATAAAGAATAAACACACCTCTCTGGTCTCTCTCTCTCTCTCTCTCTCTGTCTCTCTCTCTCTCTCTTTAGTGCTGCGCTCAATTCGCTCCGCCCCTTGCTTCTCTGTGATTGGTCAGCTGAATCTGAACTCCGTTTTCCCACTGGAGAGCCGAGCTGAGAATCCCCGCCCACAGTCACAGCCGCTTCCTCATTCGTGGAGCACAGGAAGTCTGAGTCTGCATCCACCAGTCACACTTCAGATGCTCAACACTGACAGCGGACGCATGGTTTGGACACTCGGGGTGCGGTGATGCACAACCACAGATTCATCTCTCAATATCTACTTACATAATTAAAATGTGATATTTTATTAAAAAAAAGAAACATACGCACAAATAAATAACTATAACTGAGTCACCTGACAGATGAATGTTCAGGGCCAATCAGAGAAGAGCGTGAGGGATAGGAGCTCAGTGATTGGCTGATCATTACGTCATCGTTTTTGCGTTGGATGTGAAGCTATTTTTTATTTCAGCCAGTGTTTTTTGGAAGTGGGAATAACATTATAAGTGTTGGGTTTTGTATTTAAGTGTGTTTGGTGACAGAAAGAATACAGTGAGATTGAGAATGAGTGTTTGTCATTGAGTGTAGAGGAAGTCATGTGCTACATTAAGAGTATCTATATATTTTTCTGAGGGTCAGGTTGTGTTATTCTTTATGTTTTGGGATTTGTTTGTAAATGTTTAATCTTTGTTTGCATGTTCAGAAGCTCACATGTTTATTTACATTCAGATTTGTTGTTAAAACTGTTTAAGCACTTGATAATTAAATATGCATGTGCCAAAGCATAAAGAACATTTGTGCCTTAATTAAAAGTTCTGTATTATTAGTGAACAAGTAAACACCATTTAATTGCGTCAGTGTTGTCTGTTTTCTTCCTGCAGCTGTGGATCCAGATGTATTATTTTTCTTTCATTTCCCCCATAGAGATAAAAAAATCTTGTTAATAGTCAGTGAGCTGTATTATAAAACATTTACAACATTATACACTTCAATTTGAAGCACAGACATGTATGAAAATCAGACAAAGATACAAGAGTGAATGAATTTAAAAAGGGAAAGAACTACAATCCCATGATGCATTGCACATGACACAGTCCAATTAACAGCAACATAAAAAGCTGAAGTGGTTAATGTTGTATGATGTGTCAGTGCATTGTAAGGTTGCAAAATATATATTAAAAATCTTTAGCTGCTTTGCTTACTGCGGCTCTGATTGGTGGAATTGTTTGCAGAGCATCTTGGGTAATGTAGTTTTCTGCGGAGCATCTTGGGTAATGTAGTTTTCTGCAGAGCATCTTGGCTTATGTAGTTTTCTGCAGAGCATCTTGGGTAATGTAGTTTTCTGCACAGCATCTTGGCTTATGTAGTTTTCTGCAGAGCATCTTGGGTAATGTAGTTTTCTGCACAGCATCTTGGCTTATGTAGTTTTCTGCACAGCATCTTGGGTAATGTAGTTTTCTGCACAGCATCTTGGCTTATTTAGTTTTCTGCAGAGCATCTTGGGTAATGTAGTTTTTTTGCAGAGCATCTTGGGTAATGTAGTTTTTTTGCAGAGCATCTTGGGTAATGTGGTTTTTTTGCAGAGCATCTTGGGTAATGTAGTTTTCTGCAGAGCATCTTGGCTTATGTAGTTTTCTGCAGAGCATCTTGGGTAATGTAGTTTTCTGCAGAGCATCTTGGCTTATGTAGTTTTCTGCAGAGCATCTTGGGTAATGTAGTTTTCTGCACAGCATCTTGGCTTATGTAGTTTTCTGCAGAGCATCTTGGGTAATGTAGTTTTCTGCACAGCATCTTGGCTTATGTAGTTTTCTGCAGAGCATCTTGGGTAATGTAGTTTTCTGCAGAGCATCTTGGGTATTGTAGTTTTTTTGCAGAGCATCTTGGGTAATGTAGTTTTCTGCGGAGCATCTTGGGTAATGTAGTTTTTTGCAGAGCATCTTGGGTAATGTAGTTTTTTTGCAGAGCATCTTGGGTAATGTAGTTTAATGTAGTTTTCTGCAGAGCATCTTGGGTAATGTAGTTTTCTGCACAGCATCTTGGCTTATATAGTTTTCTACAGAGCATCTTGGGTAATGTAGTTTTCTGCAAAGCATCTTGGGTAATGTAGTTTTCTGCAGAGCATCTTGGGTAATGTAGTTTTCTGAGGAGCACCTTGGGTAATGTAGTTTTCTGCAGAGCATCTTGGGTAATGTAGTTTTCTGAGGAGCATCTTGGGTAATGTAGTTTTCTGCAGAGCATCTTGGGTAATGTAGTTTTCTGCAGAGCATCTTGGGTAATGTAGTTTTCTGCAGAGCATCTTGGGTAATGTAGTTTTCTGCAGAGCATCTTGGGTAATGTAGTTTTCTGCACAGATTATGTCCGAAAACTCAGTTCAGGTGAATTAACACAGAATTATTGTTAAAAAGAAAATAAATTTCCCTATGGAGAAAATGAATGAGGTTTTTATTTCAGGAACTGACTTCTCTGTCTTTATCTGTTTATCAACACTAGGAGCTTTCTGTCATTTCAGCACTGTGGAAACTAAAATAAAGACTTCTATTTTCATCATTTTTTAATCCATTGCTTTAACAAATGTGCCTTTTTCCAGTCATATGGTTTGCATTTATATTTACGTTTACATACTTTCAATATAGTTTTGTTAAGAATGTAAGTTTATTTTTAGGGTTAGTCGCATGTAATTATGCATTTTTAATTGTGTAATAATTACTGTAGTGTATACATGTACATATGTAAAATAATATACCATATTGACTTATTTAAACAATGTTAGATCTATTGGTATTCTTTTTATACTGTTATTTTATCCAGTATAATTGTATATATTTCTATTATATTTCTCTTATGGCAATGTGAGCTAACTCAATTAATATGGTAAGTTTGGATTTCATGTGTACTTTCAGAGGGGCTGCTGTTCAGTTCCTCCAATCATGTCACTGATTTCATGAATATTAAGTGACGTTTCTAAGACGCTCTAGCGCTACCTAATGAATATTCATACAGCATCTTGCGCTCGTCGCTCGGATTGGTCGGCAAACGCGTACACAACAGAACGCGGCGGCACAGAGCGCATGCGCAGACCACAGCACAGCCTGTACTTGTAGCGGGCGGTGCGGAGAGCTCGGATTGCGGGCGTCTCGGCTTTAAAAGCGGGCGTCTCCTCCGCATCAGCATCTGGAGGACAGAACAGCCGCGCTGGTGAGTGACAGTCTCCTAACAGATGACGTCATGCTCTTATAAACGCACACCTTTGATGGTTTGATGCATGCTGGGCGATGCAACTTTATTATAATGAGATGTGAGTTTGCGAGGCTGTGGATGCGCGTTTGGAGAGCGTGACTTGACAGTTCTCTGATCAGATGTCATAATGCGTGCATGTGTGATGATGATGATGTGAGGTGTGGGGGTCAATGCATGGAGCATTTGTTGCCGCTCGTGTATGTGTGTGTTCAGATGTGCGTCATTCATCTAAAGGCGAGTGTTTTCGTGGCCGATCTGATCTGTCATGACATTAACTTCTGCACTGATGTCATGGCTGGATTTCAGTCAGTCTTAAAGAAATACACGCTTTCGTCTTAAATAGCTGTGATTGAGCCTTTGCGTTGTTGCACTTGTGATTCTATTGCATGCATTATTTCCAGAGTTTTATAAACATGTCCATGTATTTCAGTGTATTGTGGAAGCTTGTGCTGTAGAGATGCAGAGTCTTGTTTATGTTTGCTGTTATGTCATAGTTTATTGCATATAATAGGGATTATAGTTAACATCCTGTGTAATGCAGTGTAGATTTATACTGTAGTAAAGTTAGAGTTGGCTTTTCTTACAGTATTCCAGAATTTATAGTATAAACTGTAGGATTATGATATCAGAAATGATCCAGTGATTATTTGCTTTATTGTGCAATATTATATTGCATTGTGTCTTTTCTTTTTCTGTCTATATATATATCTGTCTTTCTGTCTATATATGACGTTCAGATGCAAAAACCTCTAAAAAATATTGACATTTTCCTCTAAAATTTGCATTTTTCTCCAACTCTTGTGTGTTGGCTCAGTAACTTTACATTCATAGTGGCAGATAAGTTCTATTCATTGCCTTTCAAGTGAAATAACTGAACAAAAACATATGAAGTTGAGAACACTTATCATTTTAGGAGAACATTTTTAGATGGCATTTAGAGGTTTTTGCATCTGAACTCTTCGTCTGTCTGTCTGTCTGTCTATATGTCATTTTATTGCATGCATTATTTTCAGAACTTTTTAAACATGTCCATATATTTCAGTGTATTATGGAAGCTTGTGCTATTTTAGAGATATACCGAATCTTGTTTATGCTTGCTGTTATGTCATAGTTCATGCTTTATTGCATATAAAGGGGACTAAAGTTAACATCCTGTGTAATGCAATGTATACTGTAGTAAAGTTAGAGTTGGCTTTTTGTCTGTTATCTTAAAGTTTTTCAGATTTTATAGTATAAACTGTAGGATTATGATATCAGA